CCAGGCCTTTTATTCCCTTGGTTGAAGTCCTGTGGCATAGACTGTTTTATTTGTGTTCTTAAAATGTGCTATTTTCAGGATCAAGGCTGCATGTGATGAGGCTTTAGCGACCAAAGTCTGAGTGGTTGTGATTGTAGCCACAGGAAACTGATGCACCTTGATCCTGGGCAAAGCCTTCTGCCTTTTGGGGTTCCCCCTGGCCTGCTCCCCACTGGGCTAATGAAGGCCTCCCTTCCCTGCTTGACCATTATGCCATCATTAAGTTCCCACTGAGCAGAGTCGAGCAGGAAGAACATTTCCCCCATGCTAGCTGAGGGGAATCTGAGGATTGAAGTCCACGCATGTTAAAGATGTTGTGGTTGAGAAGTGCCACTGGGACACATTCTCTTGCAGTCTGTGTTGCGTCCTAAAGACCACTATAATTTGTGCCTTTTTGTGTAACATATTTTTGGCCAGAGTGTCCCAAAGGTAAAAAGAGTTTTTCAAAAAACCAAGTGGACTTTCTTGACTTTTTCTTTGAAAATGCTTCTCTTCTCATCCAAGAAGCTTCTTCAGTTCTAACAGCTAAAGAAGCTTCTTGGATGAGAAGAGAAACTTAAAAAGTTCACTTGCCTTTTGGAAAAGCACCTTTGGGACAGCCATGACCCGGATGATGGAGGATCTCCATGGACACTTGGTTGGGCTTCCTCCTGGTGATGGGTCCTGCTTCCATCAGCAGCCTTGATTGGGGAGGGGCAGGAGGGGGTGCTGCAATTCTGTTCTCTTTGAGACCCTTAGAAGCTTGTAGAGGGAGCAGAGGACCAGATACCAGCTCAGCTCTTCTGTACTAAACCGGTTTCTCCCTCCTCTGCAGCTGTCCCAGCGAAGACGGAGGCAAAATCCAAGGCACTTAAAGCAAAGAAAGCCGTGTTGAAAGGAGTCCACAGTCACAAGAAGAAGAAGATCCGGACGTCTCCCACCTTCCGGAGACCAAAGACTTTGCGGTTACGTCGGCAGCCCAAGTATCCCCGGAAGAGCGCCCCGAGGAGGAACAAGTAAGTTGGCCCTTGCCCCCCCCCCCCAAAAAAAAAGGTCCAATGGCTTATACCTGGACTGCAAACCCTTTGAACAGGCCTGCCCAACTTGCAATCCATGGGCTGCAAGAGAGGATCACAAACATTTAGCATTACAGGTAATCTTCCACTTATGAGCACAGCTAAGCCCAACTGTTAAGTTGCTGTTGAGACCTTTGTTAAGGGAATTATCACCCTATTTTATCACTCTTCTTGCCACACTTGTTAAGTGAATATAGCAATAGCAGTTAGACTTATATACCGCTTCATAGGGCTTTCAGCCCTCTCTAAGCGGTTTACAGAGTCAGCATATCGCCCCCATCAACAATCNGAAGCGGTAGATAAGTCTAACTGCTATTGCTATTGCTATTAATTCTTCTCAGGGTCAAAAAGTTTGAAAATTAGATTTAAATCAAAAGTTGTTTGCTCCTCTGCTCGTCCAGCGGTGGGTGCGGCTCTTCCTCCTAACCCACAAAGAAGGGGACTCAGAGCCAGCCAGGCATCCCCCACCCACCCACCCCCCAGGTCTCCTTCCCAGAAGGCTGGAAGAGGCCGCTGGAGCGGGGCTCCGTGGGCGGAGACGCCCGTGGGCGCAGCCCAGAATCTCGCTCGGGGCAGCCAAAAGTTACTTGCGGGACGAGGCTCGGGCGAGGAAGGGGCGGTCTCCAGCAACTCCCGGTCTCCCCCCCCCCGCACCGCCCGCCCACGGAGCTCAGCCCACGCGGCTTCCACGCCCCGGGACGGCCCCGAGAGTTGAGACAAGGCAGCTGGCGGAGACGGGGGGGGGCGGAAGGGGGGGGACCGACTCCTGCCAGATGGGGCGGGAGAGGAAGCCTTCGCGGGACGGGGGAGGGGAGGGGGCGCCCTGGGCGTCCCGGGAGGGGCTTGGCCGGCTATCCCGGGGGGGGGGTCCGCAAAGCGAGCCAGACAAGAGCGGGGCGGAGGGAGGGTGGTCTCCGGTCCGCGGGAATTCCAGCAGACGCCCCCTCCTCCCCCTCCCCGAATTCCTTCTCCCCCTCCGGCCCGAACAAAGAGGGCCGGGGTCTCCCGCCTCGCGACCGCCGGGGGAGGCGCTTTGCACCGCCGCAGGGGCACCCTCGCCGTCGTGGGTGGTCCGCCTCGCGCGGGGAAGGGTCCCGCGGGGAAGGGGGCGGCCGCCACTCAGCGTGGGGACGGAAGGAAAGCGGGGTCCCTCCCGGCCGGGACCCCCCCCACTCCCCAGTTCCCCCGGCGGCGCGCAGACGGGCGAGGCTGCAGCCGGCGGCATCTGCTCCGGAGTGAGTCAGAGGCTGGCCCGGGCGGCGGCGGGGCGGGCAGAGCCCCCCACGGGGCAGGCAGACCCGGCAGGAGGAGGAGGAGGAGGAGGAGGCGCCCCGCGCGGCAGCCCCTCCCAGGATGGCTTGGAAGCGCCCCGAGCCCCTTCTCCCCTCTGCACGGAGACGTTTCATGACCTGGCAAGGTAACAGCATCAATCAAGCAGAAAACAAAATCCGGATCAAGGAACTACCAAAGAAGGGGGAAAACACACACACACACACAACACACCAACACTGCCAGAACAAGCAACTGTATATAAACAAGGAGCAACAAACCCTCCTCCCTCTCACATTGGTAGTGTTACCTAGTCAGGTAAGGAAACGTCTTCTGGAAAACAGTCCAGGCACAAAGGACTCTTTTCCTCTTTGGCCAAGAAAAATTTACGGATTTGGTCAAAAGGAAGAGGCAACGGCTCAGGCATCGAGCGTAGGGGGGGAAGGGGGCAATAGGGGGGGAGAATGCTGAAGAAATATTTTCTCTCTGTCCCTGGGGGGTCAGAATTTCCACATGAGGCCAGGGGGGAGTCGGTGGGCTTCTTTAATTTTGGGGGAAAAGGGTGATTAAGGATGTACGGAATCATATTCAGCCTGGAGAAAAAGCTTTCTCTCTCCGTTTCTCTTTTCTCCCTTTCTCTGATTCATTTTTCTCTCTTTCTTTCTCTCCCTTTCTCTTTTTCCTTTTCCTCTCTTTCCCTTTCTTTTTTCTGTCTCTCCTTTTTTGCTCTCTTTCTGTCTCTCTCTCTTTTTCCATGTCTCTCCTCTTTCTCTTCTTTCTGTTTTTCTCTCCCTTTTTCTCTTTCTCTTCCTCTCCTTCTCTTTGTCTCTCCCTTTCTTTCTTTCTCTTCCTCTCCCATTCTCTTTCTTTTTCCTTTTTCTCTCTTTCCCTTTCTTTTTTCTGTCTCTCCTTTTTTGCTCTCTTTCTCTGTCTCTCTCTCTTTTTCCATGTCTCTTTCTCTGTTTTTCTCTCCCTTTCTCTCTTTCTCTTCCTCTCCTTCTCTTTGTCTCTCCCTTTCTTTCTTTCTTTCTTTCTTTCTTTCTTTCTTTCTTTCTTCCTTTTTCCTTTCTCTCTCCCTTTCTTTTTTTGCCTCTCTCCCACTCTTTCTCCTTTTTCTCTTTCTTTCTCTGTCCCTCTCTTTCTCTCTCTTTTTCCATTTCTCTGTTTCCCTTTCTCTTTCCCCTTCTTGTTCTGTTTCTCTCTCTCTCTCTCTCTCTCTCTCTCTCTCCAATCATGCCCAAGGGACATCCACTGAATTGGCTAAGAAGGAGATCTGGCAAGCACAAAGTCAATGGATGGAAACTAATCAAGGAGAGAAGCACCTAGGACTGAGCTGTAGGTTGGACTAGAAGACCTCCGATGTCCCTTCTATTCTGGGAGTTGAAGTCCACAGGACTTAAAGTCGCCAAGGTTGAGAAACTCTGGTGTAGGCTTGAGCAGGGGGTTGGACTAGAAGACCTCCGATGTCCCTTCTATTCTGGGAGTTGAAGTCCACAGGACTTAAAGTCGCCAAGGTTGAGAAACTCTGGTGTAGGCTTGAGCAGGGGGTTGGACTAGAAGACCTTCAAA